TCGCATTAAGGTGGCCAAAATATCTGAGCTTGAGCTTCATTATCGATCCTTCCAATGAGCAATCAGGGTTGATTTCCTTTAAGATTGACTGGTTTGACCTCCTAGTAGGAAAAATTACTAGAATTTATAACCAGTTGCTAAGTATTTATTTGGTAACAAACCATCTATTGACAGAATAGACATATTCTGAAGAGTGTGTATTAATTGCAGATTTCCTGAAGGAGAATCATGGTTTTTATCTGCTTTTGAACAATATGAGCCCTAACTCAAGAAAGCCATTTATGACATAGGAACAGATTTTCTTTGCTTTGCAAATAATTTATATGTCTCATAATTCATTTGTGGGATATAAATGCTCACTGTTCCAGAAAAGATGTTCCCAGGCTGTTCTCTGTTTTAATGCAGCTCATGAAAGTTTTATTACTTCTAAGAGAATGATTTCAAATATCACAATCAGAAAACAGCAACTTCAGTTAGGAAGTATACTTCAAAGCTAAAATGTTACCAGATGGGCATTTTGTCATATATGCAATACAAGTTTATCAATACATATACAGCCTCAAACTCAGGCAAAAAAAATAATACTCTTGCCTATATTGTTACATTTAAATATCCCATATGCTACTGTTCCAGGTGTTCAGGTTATTTTACACCTATTTGATTTAATTGGCTAACTTGCATCTTGCCATTCGCTCATATTAATTTAATTTACTCTGTTAATTCAGGTGATTAGGAAAGTTGATTGCAAATGCAGTAACTTCCACATTTTAAGCTATAGTTTTATAATATTGCCAGATCCTTTGGTAAGTAATGCATAAGGCCTTCCCATAAGTGAATAGCTAGGAAAATAATGTAGACCAATGTAGCAATAGGGGTCCAAGGTACCATTCGAAAGAAAAGTAACCAAAGCTATAAATTATGCCCCAAAGCTATGTTTAAACATATTAAATGTTGTATTTTCATTAACAGATCAAGATTAGGCCAACCACAGACTAACACTTTGTGTCTTTCTTGTATGTCCAGGAGATCATATTTTAGTTAGTTACAGTTTAGCATTAAGTACAAATTCTAAACTGTGGTTAACCCTAATTATTGTTAGCCAGACAGGTCAGTTTTATACCAGAGTTTGAAGTCATTTGTTCCCAGTAATCACAGCTATGACTAATCATAGCTTGTCCACGTTTGTCCAAGTTTGAGGCTTAAACAAAAAAAGTGGATGGAAAAAATTTGGATCTGTGTTTTCATTTTATGTAGACAGTTACAATTTTCCTTCATTAAAAATAATATCAAAGAGAATACAATAAAATAGATCAATAAATCAGTGCACAGTTCCAAAAGTTTAAATTGTAAAAGAGGAATATGTCATCAGTAACAAGATCACTAAAAAGTATAGCAAAGTAAGATCAGACAAAAACAAAAACTGAGTGAGCAGATAGCTAACTAGACCTGATTCCAACCATCATTAGACAGGGAAGGAATTCCATAGTATGGAATTCAGGGGTGCCTGAACTAAGAATGCTCTTTCTCAGCTTGTCACTTAATGTCCACCCACTGCAAGGCTTCAAATAGGGTTTATGACATTAGAGGCATCTTGAGCTTGGTTTGATTGCATGCAGGCAGCCTGTACAGCTCTTTCAAAACAGATGTAACATAGCTCTCCCACTTTAGCAGCCTCGTCCTGGCATTTAGCAGTAACTGCTTCTAGACCAACTTTGAATGTAGCCCTATATAGAGAGTGTTACAGTAATCAAGTCTTCTTTATGAAATTTCTTATTGCAAAGCTATCCCTGTCCAAGAATGGTTGTATCTTATGAACCAGCAAGGAAAAGGACACTCCTACAAATTAAGGCTATTTTAGCCTACATTGATTAGGTTGAATCTAGAATAAGTGTGAGACCCTTATTTATAGAATAAAATGTACTTTAAGCCTCTTTAAAATAGCATTTAAATAATATTTTAAAATATTATAATATTTAAAATAAAAATAAATAATATTTAAAAAGAGATTTGAACACACACTTGGACACTGTTTTCGCCATTGCATGCTTTTACCATTGCATGCCACAGCCAAGCCCCCTGGCTCATAGGAAGGGTACAGAAATGAGGTGTAATCCCCAGTCTAAAACATTTTGTCGATCCCTGATCTGTGGATACCCCAAAGCAGTGTATCTGCTC